GATTTCAGGTTGGCGAGGAAGATGAGCTGTTGGTGTAGACCAATATCACCCCAGCTATATTGTAGCTCGGGAATCCTTTAGCTCGGGAGCGTGAGCGTCTTTTTTTTCTACTTGTAAGAATAGTCCGTATGATGGATTGACGAGCTCATAGTAACACTTGACGAGCTGAGGTTAGAGAATTATCACGAGCTGTTGAACTTGCTAAAACATGCCGAGCTAAAGTGTGCGACGATGTTATTAGGTCGGCCACATGATGATGTGATTAGGTCAGTGACGTGATGATGTGCTTTTCTATGATATCATTTGTGATCTGATCACATCGGATGTAGTTGCGACCAAGTCAGATCGGCTTAAATTGTGAACGTGTGAGATCGGCTTTTATTGCGAACATGTGAGATCGGCTTCTGATGAGTCCAGGAACTAGAATTGCAAGGCTTGCGATGCTTGCTTGACGGAGGCTTTACTTCTGCTTGGCTCATTTTTCTTGGTGATTTGAGAGCTCGTGTATGAGCTCGAGATTTTCGAATGACGAGCTCATAAAGATATGACGGTTCAAACAGAACGTGAATTGGCGATCATGTGGAGACGAGCTCTCGTAAAGAACATGCAAAGTATAATAAGCTGATTTTACGACGAGTTCTCGTAAAGAAAACAAGCTGATGAGTTGCACTTGAGATTTCATTTGCGATCTGAAGAGCTAAGTAGCGGAGCTCGTCGCTGGTGGGAGTTCCGATAGAGCTTGCGAGTTTGTTTGCGAACTTGTGTCGTCTTGTTTTTGTGATAGTAAAACCGAGCAGATCGGTATATCTTGAAAGAAAAATATGCTCGAGCTGACGAGCTAATAAGCAACGTCAATATCGTGAGAGCTCGTAGAAGCTACGGCTAATTAATGGGATGAAGTGTATCTCTTGGGCTCGTTGTTGAAGTGAAGCGGAGTTTAGGGACTTGTTTACGAGCTAAAGTGCGAGTAGTCCTCCTCGAAATTCAACTAGTAATGTAGCTCGGGGAAAAGGTCATCAAGAACAAAACTCGTTCTTGAGATTGGAGAACAAACGACTTGGAGATTCTGGACGAGCTGATGGAGATGAGCTCATGAATATGTGGGCTACATTGAATTGATGAGGTGAAAACCGGTGGAGCCATTGATGATGAACCTCAGATGCGAGATGACGAGCTCAAAGCAATAAATTGACGAGCTAAGGTTGGTGACGAGCTGGTGAGCTCACTTATACATGACGAGTTTTGTGATGTAGCTTGGCGTTGAAAACGAGCTGTGATATGGCTCGGTGGAGAAGATTACAGCTCGGTGAGGTAGATGAGCTTTGGTGAAGCTCAGTAATAAAGTAGAAGATCGGGACTTCGACTGAGAGTTTGGAGTTGAAAGCAAAGACCACGTTGGATTCGTCAAAATCTTGATGTGATTTTTTTACGTCGGAGTACAGGAAACTCGTGAGTTTAAGAGCCTATTTTTTCTCTCTTGCTTTGGGTCTCGTATCTTGCTTGATATCTTCGTTGTACCTTTTGAATCAGAACTATGGTAACGTGTCGCCATCGTGACTCATGGTGAACTATTGAAGAACTTCGCTTGAAAGAGTGGGAGCCCGTACAATAAGCTCGTCACTATTTTTATTTTACATCGGTTGCTGTTTTTTGATGCCATGAGAGAAACTGTTTTCAGCAGCCTGAAAAAACTTTGGATCAAAGAGAGGGTATGGAGAAAGCACAGAAAACTGAAGGGTGCCACAAATCAACTCTTGAGATTTCGGACAGAAATCAGAGCGTAAGAGATTGTTTTTCTTGCAGGTCGGTTTGTTTGAGGATGATTGAGCTGAGCTAGAAGCTGTGATGAACTGTGTATGACGAGCTAACAGAGTGACTCGCTATGAGCTCATTTCCCAATAGCAGAACTTTGACATATGTCATTGTTTTCTACTGTATGTAGCTTCAAGAAGGCGTGAATATATAGAAAATTCACCGTTCGTTTTGCAATCCCACCGTTGATTATGGAGTTCGACCTGCCACCGTGTAGGATACCGAATATCAGCTTGATCGGAAGTGATTTGAGCCTCCCGCGTTCTTCTGAAGATGATGCGTTGAATTTAGTTTTCTAAAAGTCTCAGATTAGAATGTTTTTTTCTCAAATTGTGACGCGATTTGTGGTTTGGGTTTAACTCCGATCGAAGTGCCGTAAAGTCCTGTAGATTCTTTGAAAATAGATCTTTCCAAAGACACCTTTTACGCGATCTGAATCTTCCTGGTAATCCTGGAATTCACCTCGAAAAACCTTAACCCGCACTGTTTCGGTTTTGGTTTCAGATTGCAGGTCTCAGTGATTTTTTGCCAGGGAAGAAAAGTCTCCAAAAGGTTTTTCTGCCATAACTAGAGTTCCGACCTGTTCCGTTTGGACTCCTGGACTGATGGTGAGTACATAAGGACCTTTTTTTGCACCTAAAGAACGTTTCCTTTGTTGTTGGTGAGCAACCAAAGTAGCCTCTTCTAGGTTATTTTTCTTTCTTTTTTGATTTTGCTCAGTTTTTTTTTTTTTTTGGCAGAGCTTGTGCTCGTTCGTCTCTCTTGCTGGAGGTTTTGTATCTCTTGTCATCAAATCTCGTGTGGTGGAAGCCATTGATAGAACGCTTGACCTGATTTGAAGGTCCCGACCTGAGTAAGAGCCAATCGAAGAAGACGACCTGGTCTTTGTGTTCATCGTCAAGGTATGTCTTTTTTTTAATTAAGATTTTGCCCTTTTTACTTGTAAACAAGGCACAAATGGAGATATCAATGAATGTCGGAAGGTGGAAGCGAGTCAACATCTACTCGATAGCTGGTGGGATATGTTGTTTGTTGTCTTGTAAGAGTATCTTGGAGAAGAGTACTTGAAGTCTCGAGATCCCGAGTATAACGGAGATTACGTCGGAGACCTCGATGATGATAGAACGTTGTTTTTTTTTAACATTGGGTTTCATCGGGGGTAGGCCATTCCGCTAGGCCGATCTGAAGAGAGCTACGAGCTGTACAGCTGCAAGGGTGGCGAGCAGCTAGGGCTACGAGCAGCAAGGGCGACGAGCAGCAAGGGTGGCGAGCAGCAAGGACGACGAGCAGCAAGGGTGATGAGCTGTGGTGTTTTCTTCGGTGAGACTGGTGGTATTAGGATCGATGGGTGGTGTTTCGAGCTCCACTTCTTTTAAAGATTGAGTCTCTTATTCCCCCAGACGGCGCCAACTGTGAAAACTCAAGTTCAAAGAACTAGGGTTTGTGGGTTTAAAGAGAAGTCTTTTATTAGAAGAAGCCGAAGCTTGAATGAATACACAGAGGTTTAGATCGTCGGAATAAGAATACCGACCTAAACTTTTATGGAAAGTAAATCGAAAGCTAGAACAATCAGATTGCTTAGTTTGCCCTAGGTCTCGATAGATGATTTTTGGATGATCTGAGAAGTCGAAGACATCCCCTATTTATAGCCGATCAGGTCGGTCTTCTATGTCGGTTCGGAATAAGAAAGTTTCCTTGCCGATAAGATTAAACTTCCATTTTTCTCGAGTTCGTCCGATAAATGGAAGATTTCTATTTATTTGGCCGACCTTAGCCCTGCGAAATGGACTGACCAGAATTTATATTAAGCTTGTAAAGATGGTACGAATCTCATTTCTAATATCTTTCCATCTCTTATCTCTTTACTTTCCTCAGCACTACTACTCTCTTACCACATTTTTCTATTTTTTACTGTTGCATATTTTTCCTTTCTCCTGTTTTTCTTTGTTTTTCTCACCGCCGTGAATAGCACACAAATTCCGTCTTTCTTGGTTACTTGTCAATAAAGCTCAGTATTTCCATAACATATTTTATTATTTTGAAGATGAAGAATGGTGAGAATTAGTCAAGTTACAATTATGATTAAAATCTTTTATCAAATAATTATTTATTGGTTGATGACTTTAATCAATTGATAACAACCAAAAAAGATATAGAATTAATTCATTTCCCGAAATGTAGAAAGAAAACCTTGGGAGATTCTTTTGTTTCGATGTCTGTATTATATTATTCTACTAAAGTAATTATCCCCGTCGTATGTGGAAAGAAATAGTTATGGAATATATTTAGTGTTTCGGGAATTTGTTTGTCCTATAGGAACAAGTCGTATACAAAGCAAGAGATGACGGCGAAGCCTGGAAAATGCGATAGTGACATAGTGTAGTGTTTTCTAAGATATTTCCAACGGCTAAATTATAATACAGGAAAAAGAAGTTTTTTGTTTAATTGTGGTTGTTTTTGTTTCGGTTTCTCCCCGTCTTTTGTTATTTCCGTAAATTTTTGACAAAAACATTAAAACAGTATAAAACTTAATAAATAAATAAAAATCATTAAAAAAACCATTTATCAGATTCTCAATCTCACAAGAGCATTATTAGATCAAACGTGAGATACGAGAATCAAAATTAATTATAGAGAAAAGGATAATTAAGTCTGAGTTTTCCCATTAATTAATAAATATCATATAGTACAAGTTACAATATCTATTACAATCGTATAACAGACTCTCTTATTTAATACTACCAAACAGTATCTAGATACAAGCAAAAAAGTAAAAGAGGAAGAAAATGCCGAAAGTAAAATGTAGATACATCGAGTCCACTCGAAGACGAACACCTCTCGCATGCTGAGGCCCCCCCAAAGAAGAAACAAGTATCGTTCGTCTTTTTGATTTTGTAATAGCTGGGTTAGTTGCTTTTACCTCGAGGCCATAGAGTGGCTGGAAATCACTTTTGTTCGCTGCGATTTCCAGGTGGCACATGTAGGCGGCTGTTTCAAAGCCGCTATCTGGTATATAACCAGACCCCATCTGGGTTGTGGTGTGCTGGCCGGAGAGATTTCGGTTTATAGCTTCACCGCCCCATTGTACCATCTCTGCATATTCGATTAGCCGGGTGAATATCTCGGTCGGTCAATACCCCCACTGGCTCAAGCCGGGTACCGTTGTTAAGGCCGACACCCAACCATCAAAGTCCGAGCTTGGGATCCTACAGTTGTGTGTAATTTATATTAGAAACCAATATATATATATATATATTATATAAAATTAAAATAAAACAATTAAAATTAAATTATTAACCTTCCATATTTGAATGGTTAGATCTGTTTGAGCGCCCCGGAAAGTCGACGTTGGGGAAATAGCACCCCCGATAGCGATTCTGTGACTTGTCTGAACAAATCCAGGATACTCGAGATTGTAACATCTTGTAATCGTGTATGCATCTCTCTGCAATATAAACAATTAACTAGGTTGTTAGCCCGCACATATGTGTGGTATAATTTTTTTGATATACATAGTTAAAACATTAATATGTTTATATATAGATATATATATATATATTGTTTTAGTATTTCATAACCTATTTCTGAAACTAATGTATTTTAAAAACTTTTTATTTTTATGAAATTTGTAATAATATATAATCAAAAAAATAAAAGTTATATTAAATAATAATTAAATTATTATAATATTTTTTGAATATTATTTATAATATGTTTTATTTTACCTTACACAATCAATAATAATTTTTTATGTCTTACATAATATGAATTTGAAATACGTATATAATATATTTTTAAGTATTTTTTTCATTTATTGCAAATAAAACTGAAATAATTTTTACCATTTTTACTTATCCTAAGAGCGGATAGATAGTTGACATGTATGTGTGAGGATACCAACCACCTCACTACACTTAGAATAGATAAATATTTTAAAAAAAAACAAATTGTACTATAAAAATTAAAATATAAATTAGACTGTAATCAAGCTTAACAAATACTAACATGCACGAAAAAGTTCATGTGACTTTTACTAATGCACAATTAATATTTATGTATGTACGCGTATTTGTAAAAAAATCGAAATATGGCTCTTACATGTTAAAAAGTTTTTAAGTGACTTTGTAAATCAAAGTGCGAAAGATTTATTTTTATACACTTCTATTTTTAATTTTTATTCATATTTATTTCATCTTATTTTAATTTATTTTTTTTTTGTTATTTTTTTTCATTTATGATCTCAAATTTTTGATATACAATTAAAAAAATTACGAATATATATATATATATATGAATATGATATAATTCTTTTTTATTTAAAATATGATAAGAGATAAGATGAGATGGTAACATAAGTTATGTATATTTTAGAAAACAACAATAAAAATGTGATAAAAGTTTTATAAAAATATACGGTCCTATTAATATTATAAAATAATAATTAGTATATACTTTATACATTTAGTAAATATTGGTTTGGAACGAAAATTTATTTTAAATTACGTTTTTAAAAAAATTTCAATAAAAGTTAATTATTTTTTTTTAACATTTTATTCTTTAAATTATTTTTATCATGATTGTATTTTATTTGAAATTGTATTATTTAATAATTTTTTTATTTAAAACTTGTTTAGATGTTATTACTATATTTTGTAAATTAATAACTTTCTGAAATAAAAATATATCATGATTCAAACATTATTAATATATTAAATATTTACTATTCTATTGGATAATTTAGTATTATTTTTTCGATTTCATATGAAATATATATATATATATATATATATTTTTTTTTTGAAAACATTTTTTAATTATAGTTTATGAAATTATGAATATATGTAAAACATTAAAATCATAATAATAATTATTTTCTGTTAATTAAAAATTTATTAATTTTAGTGTTATAACTATAATCTAGTGTTTTTATGTTTTAATTCCACAAGTTCTTTAATTTTAATTCAACCAATCAAAACATTTCATTTATTTTAGGAAGTTTGACATGTCACATTTACATGTCATTAATTAAAAGCATTAACTTTGGCTGTAGTGTTGACAAGTCAGCTATTTTCAATAATGTTACTTCTCAAATAATATGTAGTTGATTAATATTAATAAACTAATAAAGAAATAAAATTGAAATTAAAATAAAAAGTCTTGGCTGGTTGTCCAAATATAAATGAGGATAAACCTACATAGGAAAATAGACAATATTACAATTACTACTCAATTTGTATACATTAATTAGATTAAATTTCTGAGAACAAAGAATTATAATAAATATTTTATAATTACTAGCCTTTGAAAAATATTAAAATAAAATAAAATTTGATTAGAAACTTACTTGCCAGCCAGCCTCGATGCTGTTGAGATCACCCACGTCATAAGATCCCGAGACGAGCCAAACCTGCCCTAGACTGAATTTGCCAGAATCATTTTATATCTTGGGGTGCCACACACTTAGGGTGGATTTTGTTCCGTATATTTTTGGTGGTTGACTCTTCATATGTCCGACAGCATACTATACCCAAAACAATAAACCCGAGTTACTTTTATTTTTGTCAGTTACATAATATTGATATTTTATTTTACTTTTGTCATTAAAATATTGAAATGGTAATGTCAAAAATTAGTTTTAACTTTTAAAGATGTACCCCGTGCTCTCGGGTGAATCTGTTTGCAGCCTCTGAACTTGTAGTTCCATTGATATGAGACACCCTCCGTATAGGAACTGTTCCCTTCGGACACTTCGTTCCGTTATGATGCCAGATTTGCCAGTTTACATTGTCTTCATTTGTTGCTATGCCTGGAAATTTCTGTAAGTGTTTCCTGTATTTCATAAACATATAAAATTATTAGTTTTTCATTTTTATTTTTATTGCGCACGTTTTAAACTGGATTTAAAGAAAAAGTATTGTTCAAAAAAAAAATTAACTGAGAACAAATAGGTAAACGAAAACCTGAAATTTGTGATTTTGTAGGAGAGGATGACTGAACGCAGATTGAGTTGTTCTGTCCACGCAGTCGATGATATCCCCGACAGGACTCTATTATCATAATAGAGAAAAAAAAAATTAATTTATAAGAAAAATATGTAAATCAAACTTATAAGTTAAGAAAACGCCAATTATATTGTAACTAAATGAAAATGAGATTTACCGTCTTGTTGCTATGCGTAGAATATTTCATATTTAATATTTCACACCTTTAGTTTTTAAAACTATTCTTTTCCCGTACTAGTACTATTTGTTTCTAAATGCCGTACTAATACTAGTTGTGAAATATATTATAGGAAAATTCAACAAAGCTATAATGTGTCCCATAAACCTGGATAGTGAAGGCAGGGACTGAAGCTCCTAAGGTCAGCAGTTGGAGAAGAAGTAGAAGCAGGAACCAGAAAATCTCTTGGCATTGGAAATCTCTTCTTCGCCTACGACCTTTGGCGGAGAAATTTGTGAAGTGTACTGTTGGAAATGGTCAGACTGCTAGGTTCTGGTATAATAATTGGTCTACCCTTGGTCCGAGAGGCTTGCGCATCCCGTTGATTGCGGTAATAGCAGACACTTGTAATAGTAATGGCTGGTATCTACCCTCCCCTCGATCGGAAGCTACTTTGTCCTTCCACGCGCACCCAACTACGGTTCATCCGCCGACGTGAGCTTCTGATGGACGGTTGATGGAAATAATTCCAGAGGTTTGATGTCGTTATCAGGCAAGCTAACTTGGTCAGATATCAGGCCTCGAGAGAACGAGAAACATTGGTTTGATGTCGTTTGGCTTAAAGAAGCTACGCCAAAGCACGCTTTCACTCTTTGTATATTAGCTTATTGGCAATTTTGTACTCCAACACTTCGTGTTTCCTCTCTTTTATAAAAGAATCCAGCGTTAAGAAAAAAAAAGCTTAGGTGATGAATGTTTGTTTGATTTTTGGTTTTTGGTATAGATCTTAGTTTTTCGAAAAGTTAGAATGGTAATTTATTTAGTTTTTGGTTTCTAAGTACATTTTTTTAAACTAAATTTATTAAATTTTTGTCTTAAAGTAAAAAACTGATAAAATAAAATATATTTAACTAATACGAACCTTTTTCTTACAAAAATAAGAAATAATACAAAATATGAGTAAAGCCCTATAATATCAGACATCAAAATTATATTACTAAGCTAGCTTTTTACTTTACGAACCTTTTTCATATTTATACATATTCATAACTTCCACGTAAATGTATCATTCTTTAAAGAAAGTGAATACATACCCAACAAAAAAAAAATGAAAAGTTGAGATATATATAATGAGATATAATATTATATATATCTAAGATTCCTTTGGAGGAACATTAAAGAGAGAGGTGAAATTACGGGATTTATTTCGGGTTCAAAGTAAATTGACACGTGTATAGTATTGTCGATCAAAATAAAGTTACTTTTTTTTCTAAAAAAAAGTTTCGAAATGAAACGCAAATCCCTTATATATTAAAAGAGAAGTATTTTTTAAGAATAACTTTAATTTTGTAAAATATTACAATGATGTCATTTTGTTGATGTGTCATCACCAGAATCATTTTCAGCAAAGTTATAAAAATAGACTTATGTTACTAGATTAATTACATGTTATACCACTCACATTAATTTGGTTATACATTAGTTTATATCAATTATATTGATGATGATTCATCAAGATATTCTCTTTTCTTATTTCTTACCAAAAAATATCATATTAATTCTTTCTTAAAATACTATATTTTATCTTTTATTTTTGTAGAAAAATAAACAATCACATCATTCATATAGTAAAATAATATATATATATATATATATATTGTTATAATTCGAATTTCATAAAAAATATATAAATTACTCAAATGATTAATAAATAAAAGTATGTTTTGAAAGACTAAAATTGAAAATAAGGATATATAGATAGATGATTCATAAATTAATATAAAAAATACATAGAGGATAAAAAAAAAACAGAAAGCTTAATTCAATATATATTATTATTATAATTATTTTTGGTTTCATATGGTTTTAGAACCATATAAATTAACCAAATAATATAAATATTTAAACTTTATAATAAGTATGAAATATTAATAAAAAGTTCAACTATAAAAAAGTAGTTGAATATGTTAATAGAATATAATATTATAAATATTTTATTTGATTTAAAAGTTAAATATCATAAATTTTTAATTTATACAACAAAATAACTTGGTAAAAAATTAAAATATTTTTGTAAAGATATTATATAATAATTTTATTAAACTTTTTGATATTAAAAATATTTTTATTGAATCAAAAAGTTAAGAATGTATAAGTATTGACTCATTTATATATAATTTTAGATAATGTATTAAAATAATAAAAATATAATCTATTTTTATATAATCCTTTTGTATATTTAGTATTTAAAATAAATTTTACAGTAATTTTCTTTTCTTAAAAGTTAATATTCTTATGACTATAGTTTTTGCGGATTAATCTAAATATGCATTTACATTTGTAAACAAAATATTAAAATCGATTATAGAATCTTATAATCAAATTTTATTTTTACAATTTTAATACTCTCTATTTCAAAATAGAAATTGTTTTGCATCAAAGCACAAAGATTAAAAAGCAACTTTTCTTTTTAAAAAATAATCATTTAGTATATAAATTAAATATAATTCAACTAATTATGAAAAACTGAAAAATATAATCGGTCACATAGTATTCATAGGAAGTAGTAAAAAAAAATGAAAACAAATATATTGTGAAACAAAATAAAACCTTTAAAAAAATTATGAAATAGAGGAAGTAGTAATTTTTTGTATTATTATCATAATGCATTAGATACTTAATAATTTAATCAAAATATACTCCCTCTATTTTTTTAAAATTTTAAGATCATGTTATTAATCATCGGTTATAGAAAATATAAAGAGCGACTTCATATTTCTATCCAGATTGCTCATAAATATTTAATTTTTAAACTAATTTATATTAGAATTAAATTATCCTATATTTCATAAAATAAACAAAAAAAAATATTTTGTCAATATTACAGCATAATGTTATAAATAACTCATATAAAATAAATTATATTTTGTTATATGATTTTAAAATTATACTATATTAAACAAATAATTATTATTTTATCCTACAATATGTGGATTATTACCTAGTTTGTATTATTGCAAAAGAGCGAGAGTGTGGGTAGATGTTAAAGTTGTTGGTGCATCTCCTCAATCCTCATTTATTTGCCCTATAGTTTCCGTTTTCTATCTCCTTGAACTTCAGGCCTGTAATGCTTTATTGTATAGCTTAGCTTTATACCAACAACGAATTATGTTTGATATGTTGAATTTATATCTTCTTTCCTAAAATCGATTCTTTAAAATTTATTGTTTTTTTATTTGGTCTTGAAATTGTTGCTTTTCTTATAATATGTTCAATTGTTCATAATAATATGAAGAGTTAAAAAGATGTAAGTTCTCGAACATGTTGCAACCCAATAATACACAAATACCCTTTTCAACAAAAACCATAATAAAATTGTGCAAAGTTGCAAAATTCATATATGGATTGCAGATTTTAAGAATAATTAGTTTGAGTTTCAACATGAGATTCATTGTTATACAAATAACAAAAATGTAGAATTTAGGATATTTACATAATTTAACAGTATAAATATTTCATAAAAAATTAAAATATTAACTTTTTTTGAATTTTAACATTGCACTAATTACTATTATTAGTATTCGTATTACAAAATGGTATAAAATAACTGGATAAATAAACTCTGACTAATAAAAACATAGGAAACCGCTCACTCATTTTACAGTTCCGCGAGTTATCAATACAGTGTTTAACTGAGTTGAGTTTAGGTCAATATCCTTTAATTCTAGATGTGTATACTTTTCAACTGCCAATCATTATCAAACAAAAAAAATTAACCGTGGTGATTAATTTACGTATTGCAAGGCATTTTATAGAGAATATATTTCTGTTCTTTTTTTGAACATCTACGTCGTTGTCACTGCTTTAGCTACGTCGTTGTTCGTTGGCGACTTGGTGTAGTAGGGGTTTAGTTTACTTTACCAGTGGGGTTTACTTTTATGAAGAACAAAATCCGAATCTTTTCTGAAAACTGGACCATCGTTTTCGATTTTTCGTTACCCAAAAGTACTATATATAACAAATAAAGACACTATTTTAAATTCTTTTGGAACATCCCAAAATGGAAACCTGCGAACCAAACTTCAACGACTAGTGATTAGTGGGCACACGCATGTCTTTTTTTTTACTCTGGCTCTCTCTCTCCATATAAAATTGACCAATTGTATGTTTATTAGAAATTTAGAAGAACACTTTTACAAAAGAAAAAAAAATATACAACGCATCAATAATTGGTTAATTTTCTTTACATTAGACATTTTTTAGGAACTGTACATGTTAGATCCTAATTATCTTCATTAAGAAAATAAATCATTGTTTGTTAAGGGAATAAGTGACGTATATTAACATGTACATAGTATCTTTATTCTATACTTGTACAGGTCACGGTTTAAGGGCTCTGGAATATCTGGTTTATTGATAAATTAGATCAGTTTAGTTTGGTTCAATGTAAATTATTGTATATATATAGTTTGTAACAAACATTATCGAGATAAATGAAAAATTAAGGTTTTACACTTATGGCGTAAACACTACTATGGTATCAGAGCACTTTTCGCTCAATCTCTGCAATTTCTCTCAAATTTCTGCAAATTTCCTTTGGTCTCATCACTGTATCGTGCATCTGAAGGCGAATAATGTCTCGATTCGTGATCGGAACTCATCAAATCAACTTTGTGAAGCTTCGATCGGCGAAAGAAACCTAAAATCGCTCTTCCATCTGCTACAATGGTGAAACAAGGACGCAAAGCGCGAAATCGTCTCTCATCCTCTCCGGAAAAGACTCTGATGACTAATCTTCCCGCCGAAGACATCGCGATCACTCCGCACACTGGATTTACGACGAATCGCTCTTCTTAACTCAGATCTGCTCCTCTCAATTCCCGAATC